GAATTTAACCAGGGCATACCAGATGATATCCCTGTGTCTGTCCACATGACATCCAGCCAAACACAACCGTCCCTTAGTTTGAGGGAGACATTGAGCTTTGAAAGACAGGGGTAAGCCCCGATACAAAAACTCAGCAAATCCGCACTCCAGCAAAAAGCATAGTCTTTAGAACAAGCCCACCCCACTGGAATTTAACCAGTCTACCCCAAATGCACCCCAGATGATAGCCTTGTGTCTGTGCAACAACATGACACCCAGCCAGACACAACTCTCTTTAATTTAAGCGAGACATTGAGCTTTGAAACACAGGAGTTAACTCCGGTACAAAAACTCAGGAAATCCGCACTCTACCACAAAACATAGTCTTTAGAACAACCCCACCCCCCTGGAATTTAACCAACACTGCTCCACAAAACCGAGTTCAACAACCACCAGTTTATCTGCTTCCTGACTAGGAACATTATCAAAAGAGTGGGTCATTGCTTGCACGCAGCACAAACAAACTGCATAAGACTGCAAAAACACATCAAACTTTACGACAACCCCACCCTCCTGGAATTTAACCAGGCTACCCCAAATGCACCCCAGATGATAGCCCTGCGTCTTTGCAAATCCATGACACCCAGCCAGACACAACACCCTCTTAATTTGAGGGAGACATTGAGCTTTGAAAGACAGGGGTAAGGCCCGGTACAAAAACTCAGCAAATCCGCACTCTAGCACAAAGCGTAGTCTTTAGAACAACCCCACCCCTCTGGAATTGAACCAGACTACCCCAAATGTATACCAGATGGTAGCCCTGTTTCTGTGCAACAACAGGACACTTAGTTCGACGGAAGCCTCCCTCAAAAAAAAAAAATTAGCTGGCCCAACAGGGTCAACATCCCGGACCTACGGGCTGGGCTGTTGCCCCTCTCCTACATATTTTCTGCTATTTCCACTGATTTCTGTCAATTCCAGGAAGTTATTTGGAGCGCATGGTTAAGAGCTGAGGATGGTTAGTCCTGAAGGGGGAGATTGTTATTTTTACACTTATTGACCTCCAGACACACCTACTAGCTGCTTCGAAAATCTTGCTAAGAGCTTTGTTGATGCATTACTCATGGACTTGGACATTATTATACTTGGAGAACTAAATTGCGACCTGCTGGCCTCTAGCCCTGAGACTAAATCATTGCGGGAATTTATCTCAACTTTCAACTTAAACCAGCTGGTTGAGAAACCTACAAGGATTACTGAGACCACTATATCCCTCACTGATGTCATTATGACTACAAATAAGAACATTGTAAGTCTCTGCGACGTCCTCTCCTGTTCTATAAGTGACCGTCATCTTGTCTACGTTGTCTTAACACTAAAAACTCCTGGACTTAAGCCCTCCTATATTACCATCAGGAGTTACTCTAACTATAATGCAGAGCGCTTTCGTGAGGACCTGGCATTCGTACCATTCCACATAATTTCCATGTTTGATGATCTCGACGATCAGGTAGACACATTTAACGCCAGTTTTTAGATGTTTTAAATGAACATGCCCCGATCAAGAGTATTAAGATAAAGGCTAGACCACATCCTTTTATTACAGACGAAATTCACCAGCTAATGAACACCCGCGACATAAGGCATAAAAGAGCGATTAGGTTAAACGACCGTCTTCACTGGAATGCATATAGATGCTTCAGAGAGGAAGTTAAACGTGAGTTAAGATTTGCAGAAATGGCTCACGTCCGAACTGAATTGGTTAACAGTAAAGGAAAGACCAATGCAATCTGGAAGATTATCAATAATTGTGTACCAAGGAAAAGTCGGAGTTGTCCATTTATAACTGAAAATCCAACCGCCCTGGTGAATAAATTCAACGAATACTTTATGTCAGTGGGGAGTGTGACTGCCCAGAAAGCTCGTGACCTGGCAATTGAACAATTTTGATATCCATGTTGCTTCGCCAGCTGTGGAACCCTTACCTGATCAGTGCTCAGAAGCTTTCCAGTTTCATTCGGTGTTAGACAAGGATGTTGAACGTGTCATTAAAGGCTTCTCTTCAAACGAAGCACCTGGCTATGACAGAGTATCTGCACCTGTACCTAAGGATAGTCTACCAGTAATTCTTCCGTCAATCACTAGTATTATGAAATACTCTTTTCACACTGGGACGTATGCAAGGGCATGGAAAATTGTCGAGGTAACTCCTATTTTAAAATCGGGTAATTCTGAAGATCCGTGCAATGATCGACCTACTTCGCTACTGCCTATCCTTTCAAAGGTATCTAAACGATTGGCCCATGGACAATTTGTCGACTATTTAACAGCAAATAAGATATTAGCTAAAACTCAAAGTGGTAACCGAAAGCTTTTTTCAACTGAGACTGCCCTTCTATGTGTTACAGACGACCTGTTGCAGGGAATTGATGATAAAAAGATCTCAGCTCTAGTTTTACTCGACATGTCAAAGGCCTTTGACAGCATCAGACATGATATGCTATTGCAGAAACTACAAGCTCTTGGTGTCTCCTTTTCATGCCGTGACTGGTTCCATAGCTACCTTGTTGGCCGCAGTTAAAGAGTACGCATCCAGGATGCTATATCTGATCCACTTACCCTGAAATATGGAGTCCCTCACGGATCAATATTGGGTCCAGTCCTGTTTACTATTTATGTGAATGACCTGTTGTCTGTCCCTACTTACTGCAAATCGGTCTGTTATGTTGATGATTCTTAACTGTACCTGTCCTTTCCCTCATCTGACATGTCCACTGCAATCCATAATATAAATGCGGACCTGGAACAAGTCTGCAGATGGTGTTGCCAAAACTCTTTATTGATAAATCCGGATAAGACTAAAGTTTTAATGATCGCTACGCCTCAACTCCTTAATAAGCTGCCCACAGCATCTGTATGGATGCTTGGAAAAGAAATTACACCCTCTGCTGTTGCTAAAGATCTTGGCATTTATATTGACCAATCACTAACTTACAACGAACACATTGCTAAAACAGTCTCTATTGCCAACATAAACACGTGCAAATCAATAGAATAAAACATTTGCTAGATAAGAAAACCATACTTCTCCTTATGAACTCTTTCGTTTTCAGTAAGTTATATTATTGCTCAACTGTTTGGTCAAATACTAGTAAACATAACATCAACAAACTTCAGTTAGTGCAGAATTTTGCCGCCCGTGTTCTTCTTGACCTCAAGAAGTTTGATCACATCTCACAAGCTATCAAATCGCTATATTGGCTGCCTGTTAATAACAGAATTTGCTTGAACGATGCAGTGATGATGTACAAATGTGTTAATAAACTTGTAACTGACTACCTAATCGAGAAGTTTACTCTGCAATCAACTGAACATTCCAAGGTGCCGCCTAACCACTGGTCAGCGGTCCTTCACCTATATTTTTTGAAGTTATCCGCTGACAAGTTACTAGTTTTCAAATGATCGCAGGCTCAAGTTCACTTTTTTAAAAAATTCATATGAGATATGCCGTGTTTTTGTGCCGCACAACTAAAATTTTGATTTTAAACTGACCTCGGACACGAAAATTCAGCCAGCTATTACAGGCAGGGAAGACAGTTGCTTTTGACTTTGCTCACCATGGTCACGCGCTGGTCACGCTCTAGGTCCAATCTTTATGCTCTTATTGGTCAAAATTTGACAGGTGAGTTCATGCGCAAAATTTATGCAGCAAATTGAATCTTGTTTACTTTGACAGCTAAAGCTGACAAAGTTTTGAGTCAATGTGTGATGTTTTTAACTGTCTTTTCCACTGGATGTACAAAGTGAAATTCAGCTGCTATCGCGAGACTTCTGTTATTCATGGCTAGTTTGTTCATTGGGTGTTTGGTTGAGAAGTACGTCACTTGTCAAAGTCGGAAATCCGATTTCGGATGGCATAGTTTTCGTTTTTCACCTTGCTTGATGCGTAAGAGGGTTGCAAAGTCTGAAGCGATACTGGCCTTACTTCATACCTTCCAGGGCTGCATCTCGAATGGTAAGCCTGAGTAATTATTGTATTTGATGTTTGTTTTCTATATCTAATTTAATGAAGTCGAGCGTATTCTATGCGGCTATTTAGTTTATGCACGTTTGTAAGATTTGAGACAATGATGTGACCGAGTATCAGGTTTTGATATAAGCTTACAGAACTTTGAAAAGCCTTTACACATTTTCTCACCGCAAATAGAAAACGGTCCAAAAGAATATTTAGTTATAATTCTGACAGTAAAAGAAAGCTTTGAGCGATTTTCTTGTCTCGAGTTCATCCTTGAAAAAAAGTAAACACCGGGAAGCAGGCTTAAAACATAAACTTAACGTTAATTTAAGCTTGAAGACTCAGGATTTTTAGAGACACTTTAATAATTGTCTTCGTGAATGAAAATTGTTGTCTCTGTATATATTTCATCGAATTATAATTTTTTTATTGATTGTTAGTAGTCTCTCTTGTTATTTTAATCGCTGTGCCGTTCGATGAACATCGCTTACAGGAGCACTCAAAATGCCTTGCGTTAAAACATTAAATAAAAAAAATAAACATAATAAATTATTTATTATGTTGGAAGATAATAGATTATTTATTATGTTGGAGCTTAACTCTATTAATGTTAATTCAAACACTCGCCACTGCTCGCACTGCAAAAGTGAGAAGCAGCTGGCCGTATAGGTAATTTTGAAAATTTTTTTAACGGTTTAGCTAAAAGCCCACGCGTGCTTCGATCGTCCTGAATATTGAATGAGTGCAATTTGTATTACAAAATTGGGAAATACTGCATTCTGTCCGAGTTCTGTATGATAAAAACAGCGCCTCATAGTACTGTTTCACCTCAGATATGATGTATAAATGGTATAAAAGGTTGGTTTACACGCACCCAGATTTGTTGGCAAGATTTTGTAAAGTAAACCTTTCGAACGCAAAAAAAAATCGGCCTGATTTTTTTTCCAGGCCTAATTAATCTACGGTGATCAAGAGCGTGATTATGGCTCTTAAATGTGGTCGAAGGAGATTGCCAGTACATATGAAGCTATCAACTCGATGTAAGATTTGGTTCACTCTTGGGCTGTTTCCAAATTATTTTTCTCTAAAATCACTTAACCTTTCCCTTAAAAGTCACATGAATGTGCTGAAAAGTTAACTGAATTGTGGAATACAAGTTTATTGTTTGATTTAAATTATAAATTTATTAATGGGAGCCTCGCTTTTAGCCCTGGCTAAATCTATATATTAATTTTGTCAGGTACCTCTTGCAAGGAAAAAACAGATACACCAGTCCTATCAGTCAAAAGTATTGATGGGCGACGGAAAACACACTGAAAACAAAGAAATATATCCGTCCTTTAAAAAAAGTGAAGATTCGGGGTTTCGGTCGGGGTTTATGAAAAGACAACGAGATCTGTCATTAATAACGTCTCAGCCTACTCGACTGAGTCGATTACACCCGATTTCAGATTAAGAAAAGGTTATAGCTTTCTGATTCGATGTCACCGTAGGTTGCAAATATTCTCAAAACAAAGGTGGTTATTATTGCGCGATTCTTCACCGACGGTAATATTTTTAAAAAAATTTACGTGCGAGTAAATTATCAATTAGTTTCGGTTCTGATCGCCAGCAGTTTCAGAAGCAAGGACTTCTTATGGTCAAAACCAATGAGATGATAGCGTCATAGCTGTTAATCGACATGCATATGTATATTCCATGTAAATATTCGGTTTTCAAGATCTTGTTTTAGTCCAAATCCGTTGAAGCGATAGTGTATTTTTATCGCTGAGTACACTCCATTAATTTCTTGAACTCAGCTTCTCGTGAAGCATGAAATGAAATGTTAATTTTCCAAGACTCGATCATTAATTTCAGCCAAAAAATCTCTTGACCTGCCCTCCCATCAACTGAAAACGCAGTCAGCAAACTGCGCACGCGTTGGTCTTGGGTTATCATCACGCCCAACCTCGTCCCCAGGGTCTTCTCGCCTTCCAATATGCTGCCGCCATATTGGAAAGCGGGAAGACCCTGGGGACAAGGTTGCATCACGCTAAATAAAATGACTCGCTCGGCAATTCGCTCGGCGGGAAATTGTATGCTTTGATGTGCTTTGATCTCGCCAACAACGCGCTCTTAGGTTAACAAAATCAAGACCATGGAAAGCGACTGTTCACGAAATTCGGAGCAAAATCTAGCTATGATCAATGGATCTGATATAGAAAGAAGGCTTCTTGAGGAGAAGGCGGAAATTGTTCGACGATTTCTGCAAGAGAGAGAGATTGTTGATCGCGCCCACGAAGACGAGAAAAATGATATGCGTTTAGCTTTTGAAGTGGAGAAGGAAAACATGAGAAAAGCCTTTGAATGTGAGAAAGAAGAAATGCGACAGAATTTCTTAAAACAGAAAGACAACATCCGCTTGGAATTTCAGGAATCGAGAAATGTTTTGAAGCTGTCTTTCGAAGACAAGAAATCTGCGTTGATAAAATCATGGGATCGTGAAAAACAGACTCTTCTTGACAATTACATCAAAGAGAAAA